AGGTGGAAAGCTCAGTTCTCCAAAAGAAGCCACTATCTCAGAAAGATGACAAACCATGCTTTCTACTTTCTAAGCTTTTCTGGGATATCTGGATGGGAGCCCAGTCACTCCTGGAAAATCTCTCAGTTACTGCTTTGCTCTAAGAGCATGGTGGCCAAGAAATGCCTTCCCCACGTGATGATTTATAATATGTGGACAGGCTCTCTCCAGGGAAGGCCAGGAGATCTGTCCAAGAGACAAACTTGGTGGTACTGTCCCTGTGCTACTTGTACACATGAGGAGATCCTGAAGAAGATATCCTTTCCCCATCCCAAGCCCCTACTGCCAAAAGAGTACTGTTTTTCTCCCTGGGGAAAGAAACCAGGAGAACCAGGTTCAGTAAGTACCATACCAATGTAGATAGTCTGAATATCTTTGGACAAAAGCTCATTAAACAAACAACAAACAATAGCAGGTTTGGGGGGCTAGACTCCAGATAACTGCTTCAATCTACCTTTTCGTGTTGCCTTTGAGGACATAAATTAAAGTGTTTTTTTTTTTAAATACCTCTGGTTTTCAATTACTCCTTTCCTTTTTTCTCCCATTTAAATATGTGGTCCTGAGAAAAGTGAAATGATTCTGATTCTCATCAGATAGAGCCAAGAGCAGTATCAGTCCTATCGCTGAAGCTCCCCGCAGCTCCACTTCTGACCTCCATGAACATTTCTCAGAGGTGCATACTTAATTCAGACTGCTGACTGTGGTGCTGCATTGTGCGGAGGTTTCAGGAAGTGTTTTATACCAGCCCCAAACAGCTAAATTCCATCTATGTATAATCATATGCCTAATCAAAACATTTTACAGAAACAAGCTCTGAGTTCAATATAGGAATCATGAATATTAATGGAAAGTTCCTCTTTAATCAGTTTTGTGCTAATAGAATCTCTAGACCAACTGCCTGCATTTTGGAGGGAGGAGTTTTGAATTCCTCATGTGTATACACACACACAGTATTTATGTTTCAATAAATGTTCAAAATAACAAGGATACTAGAAAGTTGTTTCAGTTCATTTACAGTTTGTAATGTCACTCATGCCTAACATCAAAGAAAGACAGATCTGTCAAAATCCTTTATATACACCTTGAATTCCCACATGAATGTTTTCTCAAGTCTATTATTGTGCTCTCTCTCTATTGTTCTAATTCTACTGTGCAGTTTCCACTAGATGGGATTGTATTGCTTTTACAAAAGGAGTATTTTGTGTGGATCTTAACACTTTAAATGTTAGGAAAATTTAATCTAAAGGAACTTTAAGGCTAGATGTATTAAAATACTGAATTCAATATAGTTTGTTGTGTAGATAAGTTGCTTGCAATAGACCACACAGCTACTAGAATACCAAGTACTATAAATGTCCATATTTTCATATTTGCTTTAAAAACCCCCACCACAAAACAGAAGCACACTTCATTGGGGTCAAAAGGGCAGACTATGGATAAATTCAATCCCTCTCTCCCTCTCTCTCTCTCTCTCTCTCTCTCTCAGCACATAATTTTTCCTTTCCCACAGTATTTTACTGAAGCTGTTCACAAGACTTCAATTTGCTGGGTTGATTTTCATTTTCATTTGTTTCCCTGGCCCATAGTACTGCTGAAAGTATGAAAATAAATGATTAAAAAACCATACAAACAAATAAAACCAGGAGCCAAAAGAAAAAGAGAAGTAATCAGCAGGCAATTAAATAAAGATTGGGCTAAGGTAATAGTAATCGCTGGTGGGGTGGACTGTTAGTATTAGAAACACATATAAGGTCCTTACTTAATAGTTAGAAATTGGGATGGCATAGCAGACAAAAATGATCTTTTACTTTCGGAGACATTGTAGTATAATTTATCTTCTATGATGTATTTAGTCATGATGGATAGTTAGAACTATTGGGCAAACTGTTGACACACACACATTCACATACATATAAAGAAATTACATATACTCAGCACTTTGAAATCATCAATGATTAAAATAAACATCACAGTTAATGTGTTTGATTTGAAAAACAGGATCTGGATATCTAAAACCAGTCTACTACTACTACTACTACTAGTATGACTATTACTACTATTACTACTACTACTGCTACTACCGCTACTACTACTGCTACTGTTAAAATGGGTCCAAATAAACAATATGACAACCACTGAATACTGCTGAGTCTACATTAACATGAAGTTAAATAAACAGATGAAGGGAAAGCTGCAGGTACAAAAGTATTTTCACTCAGTCAAAACTGATATTAAACTGTAACAGTATTCATACAGATATGCTTGGGGCTAAGAGGAAAGAGTGGGTCAAGTATCAAATAATGCCCATTTCAGCGTTTCTGCACTATATAATTTCAAAAAGGAATGCTGACATTTTTAGTTACAGAATTTTTTTATGAAACATGTCTTTCCTTATGCTAGTTTGCAATTGGTGGACAAAAAAACAGTTTCTACATATTCTCAGAATAGGATGTGACACAAGAGGATATTTAGATAGGTAAATGGAAAATTGTGATTTTTTTAAGCACTTTTAAAATTTACAACTAATATCACTTATAATATCTTAGGTGAAAATTCTGAAAAAGTCAGATGATTTTATCACTCTACACCCAAATTTAAGCAACTAATAAATGCAATCTGCACTGAAATCCTACCTCATCATGGTTTGTGGTGACCTGGTTCCTTGAAATCTATGGGAAGCAGAAGCCCTGAAAGGTTTTACCAAGCTAGAAAAGCTTTGGGTACAAGCCATGAATTGATTATAGGTCTCTGTCATTACAGGACCAGACCAATTAGTTTCAGAGAAAACTATGATCATCAGGTTGGCCACCAAGGGATGAGAAGTTTTTTGTTTTGATTTGTTTTGGTTTTGGTTTTAGTCAAAGCAACTCATGAAGCATGGAGGAGTTGCCATATGTATCTGTGGAGGGTGCATTCATACCATACAACCAAGATCCTTGAAATGTCATTTAAAGTACACAGATGAAGTATTTAAGTGGTGGAGTTTTCCATCAAAGCACACATTGTTGCCATTAAAACTTGGTCCAGAAGGATTCATCCTAGGCTATCTATAAAGGCATCTCACTTTCATCATTCACTTATTCAGATTATAATGAATGCTACTTAATTGAAAAGACATCCATCACATTCAAATTACCAACTCATACAAACATTTAGTTTTTTCCATGCATGGGACAGTCCCCAGCTCCACCACCAAATGGTGTTGAAAGTCACACAGTGATGTGCGGTACAAAGAACTTAACTGTTACTGGATTCCATAATTGGCCCATGACAACAGATATTGATTCAAGTAGCCAGGTTATTAATACTGGTTTGCCCAAAGCAAATAGCACTGGCACTAGCTATATTGACTACTTCTACAGTATTCTATAGAATTGCAGCAGGGTTGTGAGAACCATGTTGAGTGTGACTTGTAGTTAAACAGATCCAGCTTCAGGGCCATGCAATCAGCAGAGACCTCAAAGGATTGGCTCTTCCAATCAGGCCACCATATAGATGGCCTGACCCAATTGGTTGTCTCAAAGTTCTGCTGTTGTGGGTATAGACAGAGCCAAAATTTCACTGCTCTGCCTGGGGATTTCTTCACTTGATATTTGTCAACATTCATGGAAATGATGCTCACAAACCCACCACTAAGTCATGATACAATTCATATTGCTTTCCTCATCAAATTACTCTGATAAAAATCTTGTTCTCTGAAAATAAATATCCTAGTTTTATTGCATTTTTAATGTTCTTTTTAGTATATGGATAGAAAACTATTTACACTTTACCTTTTATGAAGGGTCACATAATGGTTTGGAAATTCCCATCCTATGGAACACACAACCTGATTTGTATATGCATTCATAAATTGAATCAACCATTAAGACAGAAGACCACAGTTCAAATGCATTTTTGCATGGAACTATGAACCAGAAACATTCAATCTAGAGTATTCAAAATTCTAACAAAAATTTTAAAACTGGAAATGACTGTTGGTACATTTATAGCTGTATACAGAAAAGAAAATTACTATAGATATGTCTCACAATGCCTTTCACATCAATGTCCTTATCTTCATATGATAATTTTTTTCTATTTCCATTAGTTGATTTTCTCACATTGTCATTTCCAAACCACAAGGGGAAAAATCTGACTACTAAAATAGCTGGATCAAATCAATCTTGTATCAACTACAAGCCCAAAGTGTACTCACATTTAATTTTAGAAGAAAATTGTCAAACTATACTCTGTTCTGGATTATCATCTATACTTAAGTGGTAATATCTGGATAGAGGGGTCTAACAATGACAACCATGCCGATGTTTCTGTAATACATTAATTTAAAGTTAATTCTCAGTGGATGGTAGATACCAAGATTAAGATTTTTTTAAAACTGGTCCATGGTTTTAAAATGTAGTCTGGTAGTTTATAATTGGGTTTATGATAATGAAATCAGGTCACAATGATATATACTTCTCTTTCCTCCTCTTGTTGGTTTAAAAGATTTTTCCCCTTTTCACTCATACAGGATTGAGAATTTATTTTGATCATATAAACAATTCTAGAAAAGATCTTTAAGTCTCTCTTTTTCTCCTTTTCTCTTTTGATAAAGGTCATTTAAAGATGAGGTGAAAACTGAGATATTAGTTTACATTAGCTTAGAGTAGATCATGGTATCTACCCTTCCTTTTCCACTCCCTTCACAGAAACCAAACAAAAATCCTGAGCAAAGTACAAAATCCTGAACATGACAAGAAAGGTGAATAAAAACACTGATTATTTTGAAACCCACTTTCTCCAGTCACTTAACTGCTCTAGATTAATGAGGTTTTTTTTTTTTTTTTTGACAAATGTTAAGTGCTTCCTGTGGGCTAAGCTGAATCCAACATACAGAATTTAATAAGAGCATCTAACCAACAGCTAGAGGGTGAGCTAGACAGCGTTAAGCAGCCAGCATTCTCCTAAGCTGTGTATCATCACACATCACTGGGCGACCTGGCTCTCTGGGAGAGGTTGGAAGGGATGCAGCCGCAGCAAATAAGCCAGAGAGCTTTCTGTATTTCTTGATTTCGGAAGGCATATATCACAGGGTTGATGATGGAATTGTAGGTAGCTGGAAGAAGGGTAGCATAAGTGTATATAGAGGGATAGGTGTAATCAGCTATCAAAGAATAGAGGGTGAAAGGCATCCAGCAAGCAGCAAAGGTCCCCAAAATGATAGCCAGAGTAGAGACTCCTTTCCGGGTGGTCACATAATGCGATGTGGCCAGGAAATGGTGCTGCAAGGCAATCTGATGGGCGTGCCTCATTACAATCTTACAGATCTGGATGTATAGCTGGAGCATGAGAGCAAACATGAGCAGGAAGGAGACAGAGAGGATAGCGGCATTATTCTTAGTGAGAGGTCTGATCACACTGCAAGTGGATTCATCTTTGAGGCAGTTCCAGCCCATGACAGGCAGCAGTCCGAGACAGATAGAAGCTCCCCAGAGCATTATAAGCATGATATAGGTAAATGTGACAGTCCTTTCGGAATTGTAAGTCAAAGCATAATACAGCGAGAGGTAACGATCAACAGTGATAGCCAGCAAGCTGCAGACAGAGGCTGAGAAAGAGGCGACAATCAGTCCTATCGTGACCAGCTTGGTGGCTTCTGACTGAAGCAGGTAGGCAAAAATAAAATTGATGATCAATCCAATCCCTGCCAATAGGTCTGCGAGTGCCAGGCTGCCTATCAGGAGAAACATGGGTGCACGCAGGCTGGGATTATGGAAAATTATAAGGACCACAATGGCATTTTCACAGGAGATGAGGGTTCCTGAAGTACATAAAACAATGTCCCAGGGGTTTACTATGAGCTCTGGCTCTGGTTCTATGACGGGAATCTGGGAGGAAACTGCAGCTGAGACATTCTCCGGAGAACTGGCATCTAAATGATTCTGAGGCAGCCAGCTTAAATTAACCTTCAGGTCTTCATTCATTTTAACCCCTGTCTTCTTCAATAAAAAGACATGGTTTTTAATGTTCAAGTATAGCAAGATGGAAATTTAAGATCATGCAAGAAACAACCACCAAAAAACCCCACCTGGTAATTGCTCCCCCCAAACAAACAAACAAAACCTCTCCAAGCCAAACACTATAGTTCTGACTCTGCAGGTATTTATCACACATATCAGGGGCTACAAATCTTAAAATAATGCCAAAGAAAAAGTCAAAAGATACTTCTCTCTCTCTCTCTCTCTCTCTCTCTCCCCCTTAAATTCCATCCATCGGTGGGAAAAATACAGGCGAGCATATGGGAATGAAAACAGTGAGAATGATGGATTTGCACATGGAACGATCTGCAATCATTACAGAGCTGTTGGGAATGCAAATATTCAAAAGCACATCTTACATTCTGAAAATGAACAACTGTTTGAATTCTGGGGCTGATGCAGAGTCCCGCAGGACAGCCTACAAGTCATGTAAGCAAAGAGTGTCATGCCATTTTTCCTACATAGCCTTCAAAAATAGGGCTTTTCTATTCAACCCTTGCCTCTTTCCCCAAAACGTCCCCCCTCATCCACAGATTGGGGGCAACCCCAAATCTTCATTCAACAGGAAACGCGGGGTAGCAGCTATTCCTAAATCCTAGGATGGCAACAAAAGGCAGAACGAAAGTGTGAAAATATAGAGATGCTCATGCATTGAGTGGCCCCTTTCCCAACCTCAGCCCAGTGATAGGATACAGACAGTGGGATCACATATACAGAGAGCACCACACAGCAGACATTGAGCAGTGGTTGGGGGGGGAGGAGGTTAGGGGAGGAGGGATAGCAAGGTAGTCACCTTGACTTCTCCTGATGGAGAGTCCTCGGCTTCTTCCTAAATAGAGCAGGTTTCCTCTGGCATGTTCTTCTCCCCGAATGCAAGACGGATAGAAATCTGTTTTCCGGCTCTGGAGTTTGCTGGGAGTGCAGAAGGAGGGGGCGGAAGAAAGGAAGGGGGAGGGAGGGAGAAGGAGGAGGAGGAGGAAGAAGAGGAGGAGGCAGTAGCGGCAGCAGCAGCAGTGGCAACAGCAGAGACACTGACTGCAGCAGGTAAAAAAAAATATTCTGCGCTTGTGCTACACTCCGGCGTCTTGAGGTTTGGTAAAGGATCCGCTGCGTGCGCCTGTCATGGACACACAATCCTCCCCCCCTACACACACACACAGGCGTGCACCACGCACACACGTGCGCACCCCCCACTTGCCCTCCCTCTTTCACGCCCGCCCTTGGCTCACAGATGGGGGTGGTGGTGGTGGAGGTTGAGGATGCGGCGGGGAGCGGCAATCGCCAACCAGTTAACACATATCCCTGGGCTTTGTGGGCTGAGAGCTCGGCGGGGACGCGCCGCTAGGACCTAGATCGCTCCCCAACTCCCACACTCTCTCCGACCGCACAGCCCTAGGGTAGCAGACTCCTGCTGAAATGCTCAGCTTCCTGACCCACACTGACCTTCGCCGGTGTCAGAGATTTACAGTGTCATACCATGGAGTTGAGCCTGGTTCCCCCCCTTCAGCCCCCCTACTCCCAACAATCAGGATGAGAGAAGAAAGCTGCTCATATTCTGGTCGCTCTGGAACTGAAGGTTCATGTTGCCTGGATGAAGAATCCTAGTTCCAAGTGAATCTGGGTACCCATTCCTTTCCCCAAATTGCTGCAGAAAGACCATTTCGGCAAGGATGGGGAGGGTGAGGAATGCGATTTCCCCAACAGCAAAATGTACAAATAACTATTTAGTATTGACCTTGGTCATGTTGCCCTTTTATTAGGATTTCCCCCGTGTCCTTTGGCTAGCTGGATTAGGTGATCGTGGTATGAGAATCATCATTACCATCATTAAATTGCCTTTTTTAAGTGCTCCTATGTGCTGGGTTTCCCAATGGGAGTCAGTTACAGTGTTGATGCAAAACTCTCTTGAGCAGCTAGCCAAATATCCAATCTCTTAGGCACTAAAATAGCACGACTCTATTTTATTTATTGTCATTCTTTTTTTAAAAAAAATTACTATATAGACAGTTAAGTGCCCGATAACCATCTGCTTCAATACGCCTGCCTCTCTGCTACACTGTGTGTAGCTCTCTGAACAGAAGGTAACTTGCAAAAAAAAAAAGCCCAACATCTTGGAGTCAAGAACACAGAACTTGGATGCAAGGGATGGGGGGAAGCAAGACAGGTCACATATCTAGTTCCAGACTTTATCACCAGATCTACTGCAATAGAGAGAAAAATAAACCCAACAGGTAGAGATAAGCATTCATATAGTAGGTACTGTTATTATCTCTATTTTACAGTTGAGGAAACTGAAACTAAGTGACTTGCCTAGGGTCACTTAGCTAGTAAATGTCAGAGGCTGAATTAGCTCTTCGTCCCTCCAGGCCCAGCACTTCTTCCACCAGCCACCTCACCTGCAAGTTATCTTCTGCCTCCAGTCTCTTCTCACTCCAACCTATTCTCCAGGCAGCTTCTCAAATTCCTATTTCTAAAACAAAGGTCTGACCATGCCAATCCCCTGCCTGAGAAGTTCTTGCCTGTCTGACAAAACACATTCCTCCTTTCAGTCTTCCAAAACCGTTCTGCTCCAGTCTCCCTTTCAAGTTTATTGCATATTACACATATTCACATGTGTATTTACCAAACTGTATCCCTGACATTCTATCTCTTCCCTCTATGTCTTTGCACAGGCTTCTCCCTATGCCTGGAAATAAAAGAGGTCCCACTTTTCTTTTTTCAGCTAGGAAATGGGGTTAAGTGACTTGCCCAGGGTCACACAGCTAGTAAGTGTCAAATGTCTGAGGCCCAATTTGAACTCAGGTCCTCCTGATAGGTGCTCTATCTACTGTGCCACCCAGCTGCCCCTGAGGTCCCACTTTTTTCTTCAGCCTCATAGAATCCCTAGGTTCCTTCAGGTTAAGTGCTATCTTTTTCGGGACAGCTATCCTGACCCAATCCTACTCTCTCTTTCAGTTGCTAGCACCCTCCTGCAGTTACTTTGTATACATTTTGTATTTAATTCTTATGTACTTGTTGTTTTTCTCCAAAAGAATGCATGCTACTTGAAAGCAGGGACTGTGTTGTTTCTATCTCCAATAGTGAGCACAGTGCCTAACCCTGTGCTTAATAAATACTTGTTGAATCAAATTGGATTTTACCTTGTCTTTGTGTAACTTTGTATTGCTAATATTTATAAAGCCCTTAGTATATGCCAGGCATTGTGCTAAGCACTTTACAAATGTATCTCATTTGATTCTCACACCAATCCTGGGAGGTGGACGCTATTATTAACCCCCATTTTACAGCTGGGGAAACTGAGGCAAACAGAAGTTTGTTTTTGTTTGTTTTTTTTTTAAAGTGATTTGCTCAGGTTCACCCATCTTGTAAGTGTCTGAGGCTAAATTGGAACTCAGATCTTCCTGAGTCCAGGTCCACCACTCTATCCATTGTGCCACCTAGCTGCTCCTAGGTAGTAGCACCAACACTTCTGAAGGTATGAAACTTAAATAAATGGGGATAAGGAGGAGAAGAAGAATGGAGACTATTTCTGGAAGGGAGGTTGGCACAGCAGCAAAAGGTACAGAGATAGGAGAGGTCAGGAAAAGATTGTGTGGATAGAGAGGAGTCTAATTAGGCTAGAACTTGGAGTATGTAAAGGGAAAGAGTATGAGATAAGGATGGCAAGGCCATCTCTAGCCTGGTTACAGCCAGTGGTGAAGACCTTGAATGCCAGGATAAAGAGTTTTTACCTGACTTGGCAGGCACTGGGGACCCACAGAGTTGACACCATAATCATTGTTCTCCTTCTGTCTTCACTGGAATTTCTTTCCTTGGGCCTTTTACTTTGCTCTTTCTTCTCCAAAAGCTGATTCTCTCTAATTGCTTCAATGACTATTCATAGAATGCTGACTTCCCTCTAACTTCTCCCCTTCTCACTGCTGCTGTTTCTCTTGATTCTACCATCCCCTGTTAGATGTCAGCTGAAGTCTCTCCTCCCCTTCCTAGATAAAGTCCTTGAAAAAGCTGCACTGAGTACCTCCTCTTTTTCTCCTCTCCTCACTCTCTTCTAACCCTTCCCTTCTCCCATTTTGGCTGAAAGTTTTCAAGAGATTTCATGAAGAAAATGGTGCTTGAACAAACCTAGTTTTGAAGGAAACTAGTAATTCTAAGATGTGACTGTGAAGCAGGAGCCCATTCCACATGTGAAATGGTGGTGCGTCCTTGAGGAATCAGTCAGGCATACTTGTCAGGTGGGACCACCATTGCAATGAACTCTTTGGAAGAAATAAGCATTCATTAAGTGCCTGCCACTGTGTTAAGCACCTAGACTTACCTGGCTATTAAGTGTCTAAGGTCAAATTTGAACTCAGGTTTCTGAGACTCCAGGATCATTGCTCTATCTACTGTACCATCTAGCTGTCTCTCGGACCTTTCCACTTCTTCATCAAGGCACTTTTTTTCCCAGTACAACTAAAAATTCATTTCTAGATTCTCTGTGGCTTTTAATTCCTGGCTTTTCCACCTATTTTTCCTATTCCCTTTTTCCACCCAGTCATATCTGCTTCTCTAAATTTCCTGACTCCTCTGGACCACTTGTGCTGGATCTCTCAGTATCTCACCTCCTTCTGGGTCTATACATCTTTTACTGGACCCACCCATGAATTGGCAGACTGTACCCACATCAACTTCCTACAGGCACTATAGTCCAGTATAGTCTTTGTTTATCCTCCTTATTTGCTGCTACAGAGCTTTGACATTTCCCTACTAGTTCTCTAAACTTGTGGCTTATCACAAAATGGCATTCCTGTCTAGGTGTTGGGATATACCTATGATCTCTGCTAATAAAAGAGGCTGAGGCTGATGGATTACTTGGATTTGGGGATTCTGAGCTGCAGGTGGGCTAAAATAAATGGATTTACAGCACCAATATGGTGAACTGTGAACCCCTGGGAATAGAGGGCCTCTTGCCCTCTGGACCAGGCCAGAAAAACAGAGCAGGTTAAAGTTTCTTTACTGATCAGCATTGGGATGGAGTCCATGAGTGACCATTCCACTTCTGGTCCAAGTGAAATAGAATAACCCAATCTCAAAAGAAAAAAGGCCTCCTTTCATCAACCTTGTTGTTCAGTCATTTTTTAGTTGTATCTGACTCTTCATTACCCCATTTTGGGGTTTTCTTGACAAAGATACTTCAGTGATTTGCCATTTCCTTTTCTAGCTCATTTTACAGATGAGGAAACTGAGGCAAACAGGGTTAAATGAATTGCCCAGGGTCACACAGCTACTGTCTGAGGCCAGATTTGAATTCAGGAAGAGGAGTCTTCTTGACTCCAGATCTGGCTCTCTATCTACTGTGCCACCTAGCTGCCTTTGATCAACCTTAATTTCTCTATTTTTTGAAATGATCTCACTTCTTTGGCCAAACTAATACTTGTAATAAATTCATTATCTTTCCCAGAACCAGGTCTCTACCTCTTTTCCCAGATAACATCTCCAAATAATCTTAGACTCTGTCCTACCAGTTCCCAACCATGCCATTGCCATATAGCTCCACCCTTCCCCCTTTGCAGTAACTCCTTTATGTTTTGGCTTCCTCTTTAAAATATTGACACTGAAGTGACAGCCCAGTTGAAATTATGTAATATAAATTTATAGTTGGCATAATTTAATGACTTTCTCCAGCTCTGTTCAGTAGAACATGAATAGGAGCAAAGAGGAAATAATGGGAATAATTCACAGTTGGGGTTTGGAAAAGCATGACAAGGGGACAAGGAATTCAGGTGTAGAGGATAGTGTAGAAGTCAATCGATTCACCAACCTATTGAAATAGAGAGGGAGGAGAGTTCAGTCAATGTGGGGAGATGACCTGGGAAAGAACTGAGGGACAGAGGGATTAGAGCTCATGGTGAGGCTAAAAGAACGGGGCTAATGGTCATGTCATAGAGAAGGAGGAATGACAAAAGTTTAGGATCACATAAAGGAATTTCAAAATTCATGAACATAGACATGGAACATACCTGGATGATAGTAAGATCAAGGATATGACTATTTCTGTTTGTAGCAGAGATAGAATAGAGGCATACATCATGAGAACTGAGTAGATGTAGGAATTAGGAAATTAGGATATTTGAGGGAGTATCAATGTGTATGTTGAAGTCTCCCAATATGAGGGCAGGAGTTGGGAAGGAGAAAAAAAGACTATTATCCAGCCACTTAACTCATGGAGGAAAGACGGAAAATGTTCTAGGGGTCAATAGATCATGGCTACCAAAATTTGGATTGGTTGATAAATTTGAATATTATGAACCTCAAAGGAAGACAGTTTGCTGAATAATGGTGGTAGATAGAGGATCTGGAAATGGTGAG